CTTGGACTCCCAGCTGGGATTATTCCCTGTGGGTTGGTCAGTACTGGTTTGGTTTCCAGGCTTTGGGGGATGAAGTTCCTGGTGCTGATCCAGAGCCCTCCTCCATTAACTGTGCATGGAACATTTCCATGGGAAAGAAGAGCTTTGTTTCCGTGCTCAAAACTGCAGATTAGCCCTTCTACCTCTTTTATTTCTCCACTGGGTGTCGGCTCTGGGGAAGCCCAAAGTTAAGATTTAGGCATTTGCAAGCAGTTATAGCAAAAGCTTCAACTATTTGTGGTACCATTCTTCACCCACTGAAGTTAATGAGACTTCCAAATCTGCTCCACAGAGAACTGGGGGAGACCCACAGCAACTGGCAGATCCATGAAGGTGGGGTTTGTTTAACAACTGAATTATCCCACTAAAAACACTTGGACTGTGTGAAATGTGAGGGTGAAACCCCAACGAGGGGTGACTCAGATCACCCACTGATGATCAGACAGACACCCTTAGTTCTGGGATGTTCTTCTCTGTTGGAAAAGCCTTTGTCCCTCTAAGTCTCATTAGCAAGATTCCTCAGTTCCCATCCTGCCTGCAGCACATTCCATATGCTTGCTGGTCAGGAATCCATGGGAATATTTAAATTTCCAGCCCTTTCCCCTTGGCTCCAGGTGTTTGACCACACAGTCTTTTGTTCCCTCTGCGGGATTCCTGCACTCAACCCCGGCTTTAGCAGGGAGAATAAGGAAAGCCAGGGCTGGAGCTGTTGGATTCTCCTGCCCACACTAAAATCTCCTGTGCCTGGTTACCAGCAGAGCTCCTGGTTCTTAAAAAGTGAAGGGATAAGAGGAGGCAGGGAGGTAGGAGATGAGGTAAATTGTCTTCCCCTCCTCACCTCACCCTCCAAATTTAACTGACAGGATGAAGACCGTGGTTTTTCTTTCTCTTTTACAAAACTGACTCTGCAGACCCTCCCTGCTTGTGAAAGGGCTGCTGCATTCATGTGGAATATTTGGGCAGTCTTTTCCTGTCAGAGATGCTTTTTCAGATGGGAAGGTGCTTTTCTGCCTCCAGAAACTGGATTTGGGGTGTGTGAGGAGCAAGGGGAGTGGAGGGATGGAGGCAAAGCGGGTTTTTCTCTTCTTAGGTTTTGTTGAGGACTAGTTTTTATAAAACCCTCTATGAATAAACTCTGATCTCCAGGGCTTGGTGAGCTTTATCTGAAGTCAGGCTTTTCCTGATGTCAGGATCTTAAAATCCTTGGGTTTCTGGAATAACTGGGAGAGGATGTTTTCCTGTCTCATACAGCTTCCATCCTGTTTAGGGCCTGGGTAGTGGGTAAGAATCTCTTCATACCTGGCAAGCCCTGAGGTTGTGAGCCACCATTCCCACCTGGAAATGTCCTCAGGGATTACCTGGCCAGAACCCAGCTCCAGTTACTAATAATCTTGATAATGTGCCTCAAAAAATGTAAGGCTCCAGCTCCAAATGGCAGAGACTTTTGCCCCTGCTGTTCCCACTCGCTGCTGTTCAAACCCCCACTGTCCCTGATGGCCAGAAACCTCCTCATTTCCAGCCCACACTCACTCACTGCCAGCCTGCACACATTTATTCCTAACACCATGTTTTAGCATAAATACATTTCCCTTTTTGTTGGTGTTTTCCCTGTGGTGTTGATGTAGGATAATCAAATTCTCCCTTTGGGCTTGCTTTCTGCCAAGACATTTAGTTTCCTCTCACAAGGCAGCTTCTCCTGCCCCAATCTGCCCTTCAGAATGTCTTACTTGAGCTGAAATTACCCACAATTTACAAGTAGTTCAGATGGGATCTTGCTGGGCTCAATATAATGGTGATGGCTCATCTCTTGCAAGAATTACCTGGTATTTTCTGAGGTTTCATTTGGCTTTTCCACGGCTGTGTCACTCTCAGCTCTCATGGGATGGACTAATAAACCTGCACCCCTCACCTCTGTCCTTTCCAGCAGCTGAAATTCTCTCTCTATCAGCCCCATCTCTGTCCTTGCATTTCATGCTGTTGAATTTCAGCTTGTTTTTCTCACTCCAGTTCTGGAGCTCATCGAGTTCTTCCTCTCTGTCATCCTGGTTCTGTTGAAGGTGCCTCTACAAACTCCAGTGAGATCTCCTCGATCCATGCTGGGGCCATTAATAAAAACTGGGAGTAGCCTCAAGACTGGGCACTGCAGCAGCTGAACAAAACTGATCCCTGCCCAAGGAATGTATCACAACTTCATTTTTTTGCCTTATTTTTCCTTGAGGATTTGCAGGCTGTTGAGTCCAGACTGGGTCAGTCCTGCCCAGCGGTGTCACAGCTCTGAACACACCTGGTGTAATCCAACTAACACGTGGGTGATTTCAGATCCCAAAAGCTAAAGGGGATTTTAATTCCTGGTAAACTTTGCTGTGCTCCTTCTTTGTTCTGGTCCTGGAGGGTGAGGATCCAGCTCACCCCACCCAGCTCAAACTTTACCTCTCCCTGCTGGGTCAGACTTCCTGCACCTTCAAGGGAAGAGTTGGGAGAGGTGTCCCCAAAATCTGGGAAGAAATCCCTGCAACTTGACCATTAAAATACTGGTTGCATCCCTGCTTGTCTGTCCCTGGGAAAATCCCTCACAGGGCCAAGACCACGTGTGCTAAAATTCTGGTCCTGCCCTGGTTTTATTCACTGATTTTTCAGCCTCAGTTTTATTTTTTGCTGCAGGAGTTTCAGGTCCATCCTCAGCCCTCGTTGAGCCCCTGGTTGCCAACAGGAGGATTTTTGGCTGGTGACTGAAGACAACTTTACAGACTTAAACCTGTCCCTGTTGAAGCCTTAGCAGAGATTTAGGAGTGGCCCAACCCATGTTCTTCTTTCTCAACAACTGTAGCTTGGCCAACAGCTTGGTGTTTGGGCTCACATGGTGTGTGTCAAATCCCGTTTTGATGAGGGAAACACAATCCTACAGCAGAGACTGAACAGTAAAAATGCCTTTTACTCTGGTTTAGCATGGGTGGACAAGCTGAAAAATGAAACAGTGCACGCACAAGTTTGTCTTAAGGCAGTCCAAGTGCTCATCCACAGGCAGGGGACTGATTAATGTGCTGTTAGTTCTCAGTTGTCCCTGCTTTTGTGCCTTTCCTGGTGCCAGCGTGTGACACCAGGCTTGTGATAATGACTGCAAGGAAGCCTCATTTATGGCTGCGTGGTGGGGGGACTTTTCAATCTCACGCACAAAGGCAGAGCAAGACCCAGCAGCTGCACAAGTTGGACAAATTCAACCCTGAAATAAGCCACGGTTTCCTGGCTGCAGAGGGGGAATTAAAGTTTGAAACAGCTTGTGGGGGGGAGATGTGGAGTGGCTGTAGCTTGGAGTGCGGACATGACTTGCTGTCCCTGCGAAAAGGGTTCCTTTAATGCGGCGTTTTGGAAGAGCTCTGTGATTTCTGTGTGCAGGAGGTCAGCTGAAAGGAGAGCAGAAAGGAGTTACAGCAGAGCTGTCTGGCCTTGGAGGGTGAATTACTGGATGTGATTAAATGACCCTTTTTGGTTTGGGTCAGTGAGTTTCTCTAATAAAAGGATTGGCTGCCACATGGAGAGGGGCTGTGGGGTTGCAGCAATACCTTGGAGGAAATAAAAACGAGTGTCTTGTCTCACTGGCTCTCTGGTGTTAATAATTGCTGTTTAGCAACTGTGTGGTTAAAACCTGCACAAATATTAATGCCCAGATATTCCAGTGGCAGCAGACTTTGATTCTGAGCAACTCCCTGTTTTTTAAGGATCTTTCTCTTCACAGTGTTTGTCACTTTGCTCTTCATTAGATCCCACTCTGTATCGATCCCCCTGTGGGAAGTGGTGGGAATGGGAAGTGCCTTCGACCACAGCCAAGTGCAGAACACACACTGCTGCAAGTGCTGCTAGTTTTTAAGTCCCAGGAGAAATCTGAAGCAATGATTATCATTATATTTTCATTCTCTCAGCCTTCAACAACAAACTGTGAAGGCTGTACTCAAATTGCCCTGCTTTAAACGTCGTGAAGAGTCCCAGAGTGACAGCAATCCCTGAAATTGGGATTTCTAAGGTTCACCAGGTCTGAACATACACAAAATTTAGGGATTTTTAATGCAGCCTGTGTTTTTCCAGCACTCCAGCTGTGTCATTGCAAGGAGGTGCTCTCAAAATGTTCCTGCAGCTTTTTTAATAGTGGTGGGTGAGATTTTCAGAAGTCATTAAAAGTAGCTGAGCTTTGCCACAACTAAAGCCAACAGGAAAACCTTCTCGGTGCTCTGGTAGCCAAAGGATTAGGCCAGAAGTGGGGTTTTTTTGGAGTCAGGTTCAGTTGGTTCTGTATATCCACAGGGATTAGAGGTTTGCAGTGACTGAGTGATCACCTGCACTGTTGGAATTTGCAGTAGACCGGGGAACTCAGCAGTATTTTGGTGCCTGAAGAGCCAGGTCGTTGGGGCGTTGCCACTGGATCCAGAGTTGTAGCCAAGACTGAATTTTATGTCTTTCAGGGAAGAATTGTATAAAAGGCACTGGAAGGGGTTTTGTGCAGCACTGTAAGGAATAATTTCAAACTAATCAACAGAGCCATTGGGTTTTTAAGGATAAATCCTTTACTTCCAGCTGTTCTGCAGTCAGGAACTGAAAGGAAACTCACTTGGGTTTTTCATTGTCCATCCACATAACAAACATAATCAATGATGCTGAGCTAGACCATTAGCTTTACTAACTAAAATGATTAATGAACTTGCCTTTTTAAACAAGGATTCTCTTTATTTTTTCTGAGGCCAACCCTGTTTACTGAAAACCTCTGATTCCAGTATAAAATCCATAGTTTTAGGAGCTGGAAGGAGGGCTGGGCAGGTGAGAGGAGCCCTCTGTCACTGTACCAGTGGGTTTGTCTTTACAGTTCACTAGCCCACTGCTTAAACCCACCTTGCTGCCAGTTTTAAATCCCAGCTGGGCTCATGCACCTTCTGAGCTTATCTCCTGCTGACCAAAACCTCCTTTCACTCCAGCTTGCAGATTCCCTCGTGCCCTTGGAGATCAAGCCTGGCATTTCCTTGGCAACAGTCTCTGCTGTGCTGCACACCAAGGACAACAAGCACGTGCTGCAGGTACAGGATGGTGGGAAAGGGGGAAAAAGTATCCTTACCTGGCTCTCCTGGGACCTCAGCTGTCCTCACGAGGAGCTCCTTCCCCTCCAGAGCAGATCCTCGTCCGAGGCTGTGCCAGCGAGCGGAGCAGGGAGTGGGATGCAAATAAATCTCTCTGCCCTCTCTTCCTTGGCCATGTGCCTGGCTGAGATAAAAGGGGAAGTGAGATTATTCCTGAAAGGAGGCTACAAATCATCCTGCTGTCTTCCATAACCTGGAGCACCATCAGTTGGTCTCCCCTGGACTCTGAGCTGAGGGTCAGAGGAGAGAGATGACCTGGGAAGGGACTGTGCCTTCAGCTGGCCTGTTCCCCAGGAGGCAGACTGTCCATCCTTGTACAACACGTTACAGCCCTTCCTGCCACCTCCCTCAGGCTGGAATTGCTGCCATTAGTGCTGCTCAGGAGGAGGTGCTGTCCTGGTCCCCTTTCCCCTGGGATGCAGGAGCCTGCAGGGACTCAGTGAAGAGCCCTTCTCCTCCTGGGCCCAGCATGGAATTGTCTTCCATGCAGGGACGTAGAGATTGGTGAAGGATTTGTGTCAGTGCACAGCAGACAGACTGTCCTTCCCTTCCCAAGTCTGTTCCCTAGAAACACAGAGCAGCGCTGGGAAAATGGGAGTGTTGCAGTGGAATTGGTCTGAGGCTGCTTTGTCCTTTGTGTTGTTTATTTACTCAGATTCCTGCTGCCAAATAAACTTAGACCTGGGCTTGAAATGCCAGAGCCCTCCTAAAGGGCAGGGGCTGAGCCAGCCCAGTCAGGACTGGCTGAGCCTTGGAGCTCTGGAGTTACAGAAACTGTGTGAGCAAGCCCCAAAAACGCAGTTTATAAGCACAAAATCATCTAGCTGAGTGATTAACAACTCCCAAATGACATGATCCAAGCACACAGTCCCACCAACCAGCAGGGAAGTGGTGGGATTGTTGAAGTGACTCCAGTCAAGATCTGTCCAAGATCTTCCTGAAGACTCATTTTCCAAGGCCAGCGTTCTCTTAACATCCCTTTTTTTCACCTTCCCTGAGTATTGCTCTGAACTTGCCTGTTTCTCAACCTGTTGCATCCTTCAGAGTGTGATTCTTTTTTTTCCCCTGTGCACCTTCTCATCCATCAGCTCCCTCCAAAACCTCCCCAGCCTCCTGCCAGCAAGAAGAGGAAGCGAGTGAGTGACGATGTGCCCGAGTGCAAAGCTCTGAAGCCCTTGCTGAGCGGCTCCATCCCCGTGGACCAGTTTGTGCAGACTCTGGAAAAGGTGAGGATTACTGGGGGCACATTCCATGGAATGTGCTGGTGGAGTCGTGTCCTGATTATAGAGGTTTCTTGTCAGTCATTTCCTCCTGTTTTTCCCGTGGAAAGCAGAGCTTTTGGGTCCCTCTGGGTTGGGTGAATTTCCCCACGTCACTTTTGGGTGATTTCCAGCAGCTCATTTCCAATAAATGTCAACAGTGGGGAGGAATTCTCAAAAGCATTTGAATTTCCACGGGTTTTGGGAGAGGGAGGTGATGACCAAGTGAAGAAGAGATCCTGGGAATGTCTCCACTGGTGGAGCAGCTTTCTGGGGAGCTGCAGGATGGGGGTGTGGTGGCTGAGCTTGTAGGCAGTTGGTTGCTGCTCTGAGGAGCCTTGTCCTTGCCTGAATGACTTCTGGGAGAAAAACAGCAGGAAAAAGAGCAGGATTGTGGCCATCCTGTACCTGAAGGGGCTACAAGAAGGATGGAGAGGGACTTGGGACAAGGGATGGAGGGACAGGATGAGGGAGAATGGATCACACTGACAGAGGACGGGGTTAGATGGGATATTGGGAAGAAATTCTTCCCTGTGAGGGTGGGGAGGGGCTGGAATAGAATTCCCAGAGAAATTGTGGCTGCCCCATCCCTGGAAGTGTCCAAGGCCAGGTTGGACGGGGCTTGGAGCAACCTGGGACAGCGGAAGGTGTCAGGGTTGGAACTGGCTGAACTTTAAGGTCCCTTCCCACCCAAACCATTCCATGATTCCATGAAGTTCATGCTCTCCCCTGTGCCCTGGGCCTTCATCTCTCCCTGTTTTCCTGAGCTGTGGTAACAATCCCTGTCTCCCCTCCTCCTTTCCCTCCCCAGCACGGGTTCAGCGATGTGAAGGTGGAGGACACGGCCAAGGGCCACATTGTCCTGCTGCAGGAGGCCGAGACCCTCATCCAGCTCGAGGAGGACTCCACACACATCATCTGTGACAATGATGAGCCCCTGAGGGTCAAACTGAGAGACCTGGTCCTCAAATTCCTGCAGAAGTTCTAGCTCCTGGACATCCCACTACTCCTGCAAGGGGAGAGCCCGGAGCACCGGGACTCGGAGCCCTCCGGGGAGAGAGAGAGGATTTGGGGATCCAAAGAGAGACCAGAAACCACCTTCCCCTCCATGGAGAAGCAAGGAAGTATTTTTATTATCTGTCTATTTTTTACATCTTATTTTTAAGCTGGTTTTGGAATACTTTGGAGGAGATCCCTGTTGTGTGTAAAACTGGGAGCTGGAACATTCCAGGAGACAGGAACTGCAGAGTGAATTAACTCCAGTGTTCATTTACAGCATCAGGGTAATCTGCTGCTCCTCTGTGTGACCCTCAGCAGTGTCTGCCCCAGTCCTTCCCCTGACAAAGCTCTGTAGGAATATGGAAACAATGGCCTGAGAGATTTCTTTTTCCTCCCACTGTTTCCTCCCAGTCACCAGATCCCAGTTTTTCCTGCCTGTCCCCCATCCGTGTTGGACACGTGCATTGCACTGGCACGAGGAGGATCAGAAAGCTGCTGAGGCAGAGGTTGTAGAAATAAAAGCACAAAAAGGGGGTCTGATGGACACATGGAATAGTGGGAAGGGTCTGGCCGTTCCCTGCATGAGCAGAGGGATGTTGGGAAGGCTTTATCCTTTAGGAATTCTGGGTGTTTGTTGATGCTGCAGCTTCACCTGTTAACAACCAGTTCTGTCCATGGAGCTCCAGGCCCCTCACTGAGCCAAACTAAAGCTGGTTCCTGGTGGTTTTCTCCATCATCAGGGGAGGAAATACCTCAGGAAGACACTTGGGGAAGTCCATAAAGCAGTTCCATTCCTAGTGCTCATAAAAAAATCTTGGAGATTTAAGTGCCTCTTGTTTCTACCTTCCAAAAAACTGTCCCTCCAGCCCCCACATCCCAAACCCTGGGCGGATTCTGAGTCATTCACACAAAGCCATCCTTGCTGCAGACCTGGGGAGGGTTTTCCCTCCCCAAATCACCTATTTTGGGGGCCTAAACTGAGTTAATAGTTTTGCTTTTCCTGGGATTTACGGCTGTCTGCTTTTCATTGGGTTGGGTTTTGTATTTATTTGGTGTTAAAAAAGGGGTTTGGCAGCTTCTTCACTGTCCCTTAAAAAGGGAATAAAAGACTTGGGAAGATTTCACCCAGTGGTTAAATCTCCAAAGGGATTATTCCCAACCCACAGGGGCCATGGGATAAACTCATCTTTCTGCCTTTTACCTTCAACGTTGATCCCACTGCTCCAGAGCCTTTTGTTTTCATGGAACCATGGAATGGTTTGGGTTGGAAGGGACATTAAAGCTCATCCCATTCCACTCCCTGCCATGGGAACCTTCCACTATCCAAGGTTGCCATGGCCTTCATGGCTTTCCCAAGGCTTTCCCACCCTCCTGACAGGGAAAAAGTAAAAATGAGAAGATTTTCCTTTTTACATTTTTCTTCTTGTCCTTTTGAGCAGGGAAACTCCTTGCTGGTTCCATCAGCCCAGCACCCGAAAGGGGATTGTTCTGTTCTGAACAGAACAGGAGGGTTTGTGCCTGCTGGAAAAATAAACATCCTGAGGAAGGGGGGGAACCCTTAATGAAAAATCAGAATTAAAACAGCAGCAAAAGGAAGGGCTTGTTCCTTCTGCACAGAGGAAGGAAAAGCAGCAGCGTTTCTTCGTGCTGGGTCAGTCCTGCAGAGTAACCATGGCAGCCCAGGCAGGGGGAGGAGTGGGGATGGGTTTATCCAGAGATGCTCAGTTTATTGGGAAAAGAACAGCAAAGGTTCTTGCTTTCACTCTCTTTCTTCCAGAAAGGGGAAAAAAAACCCCAACCCTCTGTCCTTGGCCCCTGTGTGGTTCGCTGTTCCATGGATCCCACATCCCACCCTGGGGCTTCTCCTGCCTCTCTCTGCTGCTCCCCCAGGGAGACACAGGGAATCAATTCCCAGTGAGATTCCCAACCCTGTGCTCCCACACAGCACAGCCAGAGCTCGGGAAAAAGGGGTTAAAAAAGGTTAAAATCAGCTTTCTGCACTCGGATGGCTTTTATGGATCAGATATTCCTGTTTCCTCTCCGTTGATGGAGGAAGTCGTTCAGTTCCAGGTTCATATCCAGCCACTGTCACTGGGATCTGTCACCTGAGCCACCTCTGTGGGCACCTGGACGTGGTGAGCAGAGGGAAGCTGGAGCAAACTGTGGGATTTGTGTCCCAGCAGCAGCTCAGCTTTGGGGAGATGTGGGAAAATGGGAGCAGAGGGATTTGGGTTTGGCTGCATGGCACTTTCTGGGCAGGGTGGGAAAGGTGGGATCAAAGGTGGGATCCCTGTCACCTGGGAGCCATGAACTGTCACCCATCCCTTGAGGATCCACAGCTGTGACCCAATCCCTTGAGGATCCACAGCTGTGACTCCAATTCCTTGAGGATCCATGAATTGTGATTGCATTCCTTGAGGATCCATGGACTGTGACCCAATCCCTTGAGGATCCATGAACTGTGACCCCATTCCTTGAGGATCCATGGACTGTGACCCAATCCCTTGAGGATCCATGAATTGTGACCCAATCCCTTGAGGATCCATGAACTGTGACCCAATCCCTTGAGGATCCATGAACTGTGACCCCATTCCTTGAGGATCCATGGACTGTGACCCCATCCCTTGAGGATCTTGTCGCTTTCCCTTTCTCTCCTCCTTCCCTTCCTCTTCCCCACTTTCCCACACCATGGAAACACAGCAGCCCCTTTGCTTTCCAGCCTGGCAACAAATTCCAGAGTAACTTCTTAAAACACCAGGGATAAAATCCCGTTTTTCTCCCCAAAGCCCTTCCTGGCAGCGAGCCCGGGGTGTAAATCCTGCACAGCCCAGACCTGGCTCAGCACAGGCCCAGCTGTGCCTCTGGAAAAGGGCCTGGATGTTGGGATTTCTGTGCCCCTGCAGCCCCAGTGCTCCCCCTTTCCCTGCCAAGCCCATTCCCAAACACTTTTACCAGGAACGCGATGCCGCTGCTCTGGCTCGTGGGTGGAAAACACTCATCCAAATCCAGCTGGGAATGGCGGGCACGGCGTGGGCTCGGTGCTGCTCCTGGTCTCCAGCCCCACGGGAGTGTTTTCCTGCATTTCCAGCTGGGAAAAAAACCCCAGACCCAGTAATTTCCCTCTTCCTGCCCATCTCAGCTGGGAAGGGACGAGTGGGTCCCTTCCTGGGCTCAGGCAGGAACCGGTGGATTTTATGGCACGGATGGGCAGAACAGGACAATTCCAGTGAAACTGCTTTTCGTCAAGGAATGTGACATCCCAAAGGGAACATCGAGGGCACTTTGTAGTGCAGGGGAGTGGAGTGGAAAGCACTTGTCGCTGCCCTCCCTCCCGGGAGCAGGGAATGAATCATGAATGGACTGATGGCTTCCTCCTCTCCCCAGCGCCTGCTTCCTCATCCCAGGGTACAATTCCTCAGCCAGGGAGAAAGGAAACAGCTCCTCTCACAAGTCACAGCAGTTCCAGGAGATTTTTATCTGCTGCCCCAGGGCTGGAAAAGCCTCCGGATCAAATCGTTTTCAGCTGAGCCGGTGCCCAAGATGCTGCAGGGGCTCCCTGGGGAGCCAGATCCCAAAGCAGCTTCCCAACCACGTGGGCCGGTTCCCTGGAGCCAGGATTTCTGTGCCCTTCACTGCCAGCCACATTTCAGCTTCCCTGCAATATTCTGGGTAGAGACCCCAGGAATTTGGGAGGCAGGTCCTGGGCTGAGCATCCATCTCCTCCCTTCCTGGACCACAGTAATTTGGGAAACCTCTCCTGGAAATAAAGCCAGGCACGAGCAAATCCCTATCCCAAAGCAGCAGGGAAAAGAAAGGGCACATTTCCCAGGGGAGCAGCAGCAAGGGCAGGGACATGGAGGGAACAAGTGAGGAAGAGGCTGCTCGGGAGGGAAGGCAAAGAAAAAAAACAGCAGGAAGGAAAGGAGAGGGAATCCAGGCACGTGCAGGAAATCCTGTGGGATTTCCAGCCCATGGCTTGTTGCCCAGCCACCTCTGTTTGTCCCCCTGCCCCTCCCTGCAGGTTTGGAGCTGGAAATGTGGTTACAAATCACAGGGATCTGTTGGTGTTTTCCACCTCAGCCTCTGGCACAGGGGAGGGATCGGGAACATCCCCCGAGCCAGCCGTGCCACAGGAATGGCCCCTAAAGGATCCCTGGACAGGGATGGGCAGGTTGGCAATCCCAGCACCGACTGGGCCACTGCTTTTTCATTGCCTGGAAGTCTCCAGACAGCTCTTCCCGAGGTTGTTCCCAACATCCCACTGTCCCGCAGGGCAGAGATTCCCTGACTGTGTCCCGCCAGCGCAGCGTTTCAGGGTCAGGTGCCCTTCGGTGGGTACTTTGGTGATGCAGAAATCCAGGGGTTCCAGCCCCCTGGGGGATGTCCCCGATGCCACCAGGAGCACCGTGGCACCGGGATGGGATATCCCTGGAAGTTCAGAGGGGTCCAACCCCTGCGGGGGCTCCCGTGGCCCGGCCACGAGCTCCCTGAAGGACGGGATGGGGTTTAACACCACGAGAAGTTTCCACCATTCCGGAGCAGCCCCTTGTTCCCGCTCCCTTGGGAATTCCAAGCCCGGGAGCTGCTTATTTTTGGGATGCTCCAGGGCCCCGGAGCCGCCCCACCCTGGTCCCTCCCCTGTCCCAGCCCCAGCAAAGAGGCGCCGAGCCGCTCCCAAGTTAAACTCTCCATTTATTGGATCCTTTTACAAAAACCTCAACATTGTGCTCGTGTCGAAGGAGTGTTTCTCGTCCCTCCGTTTTTGTTGGATTTTTAAATCCTGGCGCTCGCGGAGCTGCAGCAACAACCGCGGCAGGGGGGGTGGGCAGGGCCGTGGGACAGGGCCGGGCCGGGGCACCGCAGACGATCCTATTTACAGCGGGAAAGGCCTCGCTCCACGCCCGGGGGAAGCAGCAGGAAAACTGTGGGAAGGGAGAAATGGTCTTTCCCTTGGGAAAGGTGCAGCCGCCGAGAGCCCTTCCCGTCTCCTCCGGGAGCTGGGCTGAATCCTACGAGCAAACCTGAGCTTTGCTGTGAGCCTGGGATGCCGCTGGAAATCCCGGGAGAAGGAGGGGGGGTAGCAAGGGAGGATGTTCGGGATGGTGGCACCGCTCCAGGGAAACCCCTCTGCTCGCTGGTGGTGGAGGAAAGCCCAAGGACAGCTCAGCCCCTGGGATGTCTCAGGAGCTGTGAATCCCAAGTTTGTGCTCCAGGGGGTTTGGTGGTTGTTTGGGATGATTTGGGAAAGAGGGAAACAGGAGGATGGAGCAGGATGGGAGGGACAGCACCAGCAGATGTTCCTGTTGGCATTTATTTTCCTCACAGAATTCCACCCCTCCCTGGGACGTCCCCTCCCAGAGCAGCCACTTCATCCCTTCACCCCCAAATCCTTCCCCTCGGGGGGGCTCAGGAAGGAGGGATCCATCCCACAATACCCACACTGATCCCATCGCACATCCCGACCCTGCTCAGCCACGACACACCGGGGGATCCTTCCAACAAAACACCCCTTTGGGAAAGAGGCCAAGGAAGGAGCCTGGGAGGAGGAACAGTTGGATTTGCTCCACTGATCCCTGATCTCGACTGGCTTGGAACAGAAACACTCCGAGGGAAGGCAGAATTCCCATCCTGGGGCTCCGGCAGAGCCCATGGAACACCAGCACTTCCCAACCCGTCGCCTTGCCCAGGCTCCTGCAGCACAGGAATGACAACAGTTCCCTCCAGATTTTGGGAGATCAGTGGCTGAGCAGGGCCTGTGTCCATATAAAGTGCAATCCACGCCAACCATTCCATGCTCCTGCCTGGCCGGGAGGGCTGGGAAGGCAGAGCCGACTCCGGGGCTGGGCTGGACCGGAGCTAATGAAGCACCTCCTAATGAGGGTGCAATTAAAGCTCAGGCCCCTCGGGCTGCTGGAGCTGGAGCAGCTCCTGACAAGGTGCCACATTCCCACTCAGAGCAGGAGCACTGAACGTCCTTCCAGGTGTTTCAGGGCCTCGCAGGAATCTCCCATGGAAATTTTAAGGAGACTGTGAATCTTCCTGCCCTCCCTGATGTTAAAACAAAAAGAGGATGGAAAGGAAAAACAAAGCCATAGAGAGGAAAAGATTCCTTGATCCGGATTTCGCTGCGCTCGGTGGTGCTGGTGAAGGCACAAGCTGTGGGCTCTGCTGGGAACAGGCTGCTCCTTCCCTCCCCTTCCCAAGGAGGAATGTTGGTGACCCCCATCCACAGGGCTGCAACCTGAGCCAGGAAAAGCAGGGATACAGAGGTGAATCACACAAGTGTCACCTTCCCCCCTACCCAGGCAAACCTTCTCCAGGCTGCTCATAAACCTCCGGATGCGCTGAGGGAGAACATCACACGAGGGGAACGCTGTGCCCTTCCCTCCTGGCCGGCTGGGATTGCAGCAGGATGGAGCAGGGGCTGAGATTAGAGGTCAGGTGGTCACAGGTGTCACAGCATTTTGCTCTGGGGAAAAGGAAACCAACTCCAAAACCACTCCATGAACTCTTCACTCCATGAATGCGATCCCAGTGGCGCCTCGGGGTTCACACAACGGGAAGCTCCTGGTGGGATTAACCCTGGGATGCAGCCCAAAAGCAGGGAGTGAGGATGGGATGGGGTTAAGGCAGTTGTGCTGACGTCCAGGCCAACCCAGCACGGGCAGGGTTTGCTCTGGGGCGGGGGATGAGGGACGAGGCAGCGCGGGAATTGCGGCCACGAAGCAGCCGCAGCTCCGGCACATCCCGGCTGGGCTGAGCACGGATCAGGATCGGTGCTCCACCAGCCTGGGGCACTGCCAGCACAGCCTGTGCTGCAGGAGGATCTTCCCTAAGCCCCAAACCCACTCCCTGTCTTTAGAGGATTAGCAGGACGGGGTGGAAAAGGACATGGAGAACTGAACATCCTGGGAACGGCGGGTCCTGGAGCTGGGAAGGGTCACCCAGGCCAACCTCAGCCCTCCTGAGGGCTCAGGGTGCTGAGCAGAGCAGAGCTCTGGGCAGGGCTCACCACCAGCCAGCACCTGGGAGTCCTCAGGAGCAGCCACAGGGAAAGAGGAGCCGGGATGGGGTGAGAGGGAAGGGATGAAGGGATGAAGGGATGGGGACAACAGTGGTGACCTCGAAGCTGCATCAAACCCCTCCAACCTGGCCTTGCTACGACCCCCTCGAGTGGGACGAGGGGTCCTGAGGGGAAAAGGGGATGAGGAGGGAGGGGGGGGGGATGAAGGAGGGGAAGAAAAGAAAACAAAAAAAAAGCGCCTCATGAGGCAAATCTAAAACACTTTCATTTTAAATAACAATAATTATAATTAAAAAGAACGGCCGCCCTCGGCCAGGGGAGGGGCAGAGCCGGCGGCCAACGGGCCCTTCCTCAGTGTGCGATCCCGGGGAGTGTCCTCAGGAGCCGAGGGATCCCGAGGGATCCCGTTTTCCCCGTCGCTTGGTCGAGTCGCTGCGGGCAGAGCGGGGAAGGAGGGACCGGGATGTGCCCGCCCCGATCCCGGCCGGGCCCGCCCCAGTCCGGCCGTGCCGCTTTCCCAGCGGGAAGCGGGGCCGGGAATCCACAGCGAGGGGCGTTCCGCGCTCCCCGCCCCGGCGAGGGGCCCCTCTCTCCGCCCTTCCCGCCGGGGGTGGAACCGGGAGCTCCGGCCGCTCCCCTTCAGATGAACTTGAAGCACTTGGTCTTGTCGTGGGGCAGGCGGGTCTTGAAGAGCACGGAGTCGACGCGGAACTGGGTGTAGAGCAGGGGCATGTACCCGTACACCCGCACGAAGAAGTTGATGCACTTGTGCCGCTCGTGGAAGTGGGAATCGTCGTGGGAAAGGGCCTGGGGGCAGCCGGGGCAGCGGAAGGTCCAGCGGGAGGTCACCTGCAGGGAGGGGACAGAGGGGGGCAGTGCCACGCTGCCCAGAACGCCCTGACCGTGCCCGAGCTATTGCAGGGGGTGCTTGGATACACGGGGAGTCACGGAATGGTTTGGGTGGGAAGGGACCTCACAGCTCATCCAGTTCCAACCCTGACACCTTCCACTAGCCCAGGTTGCTCCAAACTCTGGTCCAAGCTGGCCTTGGACACTCCAGGGATCCAGGGGCAGCCACAGCTTCTCTGGGAATTCCAGCCCAGCCACTCCCCACCCTCACAACCAACAATTCCTTCCCAGTCTCCCACCTATCTCTGCCATTCCCTGTGTCCTGTCCCTCCATTCCTTGTCCCCAGTCCCTCTCCAGCTCTCCTGGAACCCCTTTAGGCTCTGGAAGGGGCTCTCAGGTCTCCCTGGATCCTTCTCTTCTCCAGGTGAGCCCCCCCAGCTCTCCCAGCCTGGCTCCAGAGCAGAGGGGCTCCAGCCCTGGGAGCATCTCCGTGGCCTCCTCTGGACTCTCTCCAGCAGCTCCACGTCCTTGTGCTGTTGTTCCCCAGGGCTGGGGGCAGCTCTGCAGGTGGGGTCTCACCTGAGGGGACAGAGGGGCAGAATCCTCCCTCTCTGTTACCCAAAGATGCCACAGAATAATCAGCAATTTGGGGCACCCCTTGTTTTGGGCACGCAGAGCAAGATCTTCGGAAAGGGCTCCAGTTTCCAAGAGGTGCTGAGGGACCACCCACTCCCTAAAGGGCCTCCTTGTCTGTGCTGAACCAAACGTGCCCTGCAGGGCCCTTTGGGTTTGGTTGGATTCTCCTCTCAGCTGCACCAAACCCCAGAGCCTCCACTTCCCAGCAGCTCCAGCTGGGAACACCACACAGGAAAACACAGCCATCATATTTATGGCCAGACCCACCCCAAGGCAGTGACACTGGCAGGGCTGAGGGAGCCCTTTGCCAGCAGGCATGAAGAGCACAGTGATCTACATCCCAAATCCACGCTCAGAACTGTGACAGTCATTTCCTATCCCAGGGCAGGGGAATTCCAGCTCTGCTCCAGTGTTTGGGCCAAACACAGATGAGCCTGAATGCCTCTGGAAAGCCTCACAGAATCAGCAAGGAATCTCTGGGACTGGGTTTGGGATCAGCTGCTCTTTGCCGAGCCAGGAACGCTCCGGGCTGAGCTGCAGCGCAAGGCAGAGAATCATGGAACGGTTTGGGTTGGAAGGGGCATTAAAGATCATCTTGTTCCAAGCCCCTGCCATGAATCCAAGGCAGGGAACCTTCCACCAGACCAAGAATTTGGTCTGACTTGCTCCGGTAACATCAAACCTCAATATCCCCGCTCAGCAGGGCGGGATTTGACCGATTCCCTGGGCTGAGCTTCCACACCCAGAGCTGGATTTCTCCTTTCCCACCACAGCTCCTCCAGCCAATGCCGAGCCCAGGACAGAGACCCTTCCCGGTGCTTTTACCTTGATGGGAGGTTTCCTCGTGAGGTGGGAGACCAGGAAGTTCATGGCGATGTCCTCGCAGTTGATGTACTCGTCCACCATGTCCCGGATGGCCTGGGGCATCACGTAGGAATACAGGTAGGCATAGTACTGGGAGACAGGGAAAGGCACAGCCTCGGTCAGGGTGGTCCCAGGAGGAAGTGCCCAACCCCTGCTGGTGCCACCCCACGGCTCCATAATTGAGGATCGGGATATGGGACACGCTGGGACTCGAAACTGAAGGCAAACCGTGGGGAGATTCCCAGTGATGGAGTTAATCCTGCAGCAACAAATCGACCCCCAGCCACCACCCTCACCCAATCCCAAGCTCCTGGAACCTCAGAAATCGAGGAATGGGGGTTTCATATCCCGCCCCCAGACCTTGCTGTCTCTGCTGCTGCGGACTCAGCACGGCAGCAGGAGGCGGAAAACCTTCCCAGGGTGCTGGGATGGCTCAGGACCTCAGTTTGGAGGGAGCGAGGGAAGAGGAGCAGAGAGCTCCAAAACTCATCCTTAAAAGAACTCCAACCCTCTCCTTCCTCCAAAAAATCTCCTGTGAGGAGGAAGAGGCAGCTCCAGCCAGGAGGTCTCACCTTGTGGAAGAAGGCAGCACCAGTGAGCACCATGGAGAGCTCGCAGGAGTAGTTGGAGTTGTAGAGCCAGGACTGGTGGGGGATGTCCCACGCGTGGTAGCGCCCCGGGAAGCCCACGATGCGATCCCGGGCCTCCCTCCAGACCCTGCAAACACAACAGTCCGTAAATCAGGGATGTTCTACCCCACAAGGGCTGCTAAAGGAAAACTGAAGGAGGGAGCAGCCCAGGCTCAGACAGAGGGAAACCCCGTGTGGCTCCTCCCCAAATCCCTGGGGCTTTCCATCTCCCACAGCTCCGTGTCCTGCTCTGGGGAGCCGAGATATAACGTCAATCGATTCCCCTTCAGCAAAAAATTCAGTTTTTAGGAAATATCAATTTTTAGGAAACCAATTTTTAGGAAATCGGTTTTTAGGAAAAATCAACTTCCCTTTAGGAAAGCTCCAAGGCCAGGTTGGACAGGGCTTGGAGCAAACCTGGGATAGTGGAAGGTGTCCCTGCCCATGGCAGGGGGTGGAACGAGATGAGCCTTACAAGGCCCCTTCCCACCCAAACCATTCCAGGGCTCTGTGATTCCAGGATTCTGTGAAAGCTGCTGAGATGCTGAAGGGCCTGGAACTGCTCCCCATCCCAAAGCAGCCCCAGGCAGCTCCCCAGCTCTGGCCATGCAGGAAACTCCTCTGGGGCCACGAGCACGTCCCTCACTCCGACACTCTCGCAGCGGAGCCGCAGGGAATGAAATCCCAGAACGGGGGTGGGAGAGTGAGATTGCTTAACATTCTGCTCTCATCTGAAGCTCCTCGAGAGAAATCCCACAGGAGCTGCAACTCTGGCAGGAGTAAATAAGGAAAACGTCAGTGCCCAAGGCCTGACCTGGGAAACAAATCCAGCTCCCAAGGCAGGGGTGAGGGCTGCCTTTGGATCATCCCATCCCATCTCCCTCCAAACCCAGTGGCTCCAGACTGCAAGAGCCAACTCTCCATGGGACACAGAAGGGTTTGCCCTTTTCCCCAGGAGCAAAACAGGGCAGAAAGTGGCATTTTTGGGGATTTTTTCCCCTCATGTGGGTGTGAATTCCTCCCACAACCCCAGTTCCTGGAGAGCTGCTGAGGAGACCAAGATTCCTTCTTGGGAGTTCTCCTTCATTGTTCAACCCTCCACTCCAATTAACGGAACTCCAAAAGACAACCTGGAAATGAACCCCGAGTAATTAACACCACCAGCAGCTTCCCTGGCTCCATCCTCCCCCCCAGCCCTCGTTTGCTGCAGTTCCTGTCGATCCAGTGGGATTGTTTTGAAAAGCTGGAAGTCGAAACCGCTTATTCCCTTTCACTCCTCCCACGTCTCGCTCTCCTCCCAACGTGACTCGTTTCCTTTCCCCGCAAAACTCGGGATTTCTCTGGAGAATGGGTCTGGCTGTGCTCAGGGTTCCTGCCTCCAGCTCTTCCCTGAGCCTCAAACAGCAGAAAACGAGGCTTTTGGCCCCAAAAACCAAAGCCTGAAGGAAAGCTTTGAGGGAACACACTTGCTGTGGGGTCACTCCGGCCAAGACTCCGGCTCCTCCGTGGCTGAGTGTGGGAACTGGGAGCCTTTGTGGGAACAAGGTGCCTGGAAGCAGGGATATGAGTGGGAATAACACACAGCACTTAACAATCTTCATTTGATGCTCTCCAGGCAAAGGAAAACAAGATTCCAAAGAGGGGGAGGAAAACAGCTCAGCTGAGACAAAGAGCCCGGAATGGGGCAGGGAAGGGAATCCAGGAGTTCTGACGCCTCCTCCGCGCTTTCATCCCCCTGACACCTCGTTCCTCACCCCTCTGAGGGAGCTTGGTGGCTTTCCAGGCTCTTTGTGCCCTTTAATCCTCCTCCCAAACACGAGCCCAGTGCGTTGTGGGGAGAGCTGGTCCCTGTTTCCCACCCCCGGGGCAGCTGTTCCGGCCGTTCCCAGATTTGGGATCGCAGTCGCTGCTCCTCGTGCCGTCCTCGCCCCTCGTGCCATCCTCGCTCCCGGCACTTTCTGGCAGGGAGGTTTGGCTGTGGGAGCTGCAGGAGCAGCTGCCTTTTTCCAGGGAAAAGTCAAGGGGAAAACGGAGAGGCTGGAGCAGAAAGAGGGGTGGGACTGAGAGCAGCCTTGGCTGGGGGTCATCCCCTTTTTCCACGCTCTGCAGAATGAAATGAGCCACAGGAAGGGAGGTGCCGGTCCTGACCCGGGCCCTGCACCCTGGCAACGTGGAAAAGCCCACCCAGGCTGTGGAGAGAGCCCCACCCTGGGTGCCAGGGCTGCCTGCGCCGGGGGCTCTCACCGGAAGCCGAACATGATCTCGTCGTGGCGCAGGTGGGCGTCGTCGTCGATGGACAGGATGGCCTCGGTCTCGATCTCGTCCCAGGGCAGGAACCGGTTGTTCAGGCTGTTCTTCTCCGTGCGGACGACCTGGCAGGTGGAAGGTGGAGTTATGGGGGGTGTCTGTGCCCAGGGATGGGATGGGATGGGATGTGGGGGCTGGGTTTGTGCGTTCCGGGTGTGGCGGCGCCACCGCCGCGTTCCGGCCCCGCTTCGAAGCCCCCGTGGTGGGGAATTCTTTCCAAGCAAAACGGCACCAGCTCCAGGAATTCCCCTTATCCCACTGGGGATTTCTCCCTCCTCTTAGAATCACAGAATAGATTAGAAAGCAGAAATGAGAGGGACCCCCAGGGCTCATCCAGTCCAAACGCAACAATCCCTCAGAGCATTGTCCAAACACTCCTTGAGCTCTGGCAGCCTTGGGAAGTGACCATTCCATGGGGAATGGGCCTGTTGAGGGCCCAACCACTTTCTAGGGGAAGAACCTTTCCCTGATATCCATCCCAAACCTGCCCTGGCACAGCTTCACACCCTTCCTGACCGCCCCTTCCTCTCCCTCTTACACATTTCCACCTGCCCTGGCTGATCCATAATCACTGAGTTCATCCCACATTTCCCATCCCGTCCAGTCCCTCCCCTCATTTCCCTGCCTCCCCTCTGAACAAGCCCCCCTTTAGAAACAAAGTCCAGGCTGGTGAAAAGGTGGAGGTGTCACAGCAATAAAACCCCATTAAACGAGATCCCATTGGTTCCCCCAGAAAAGCCCACGCTGAATCCACTGACGGGAATGTTTGTACTGGGATCTGCATGGCAGCTGGGATGATGAAATTCCCATTGGAACTCCCATGTCAAGGCAGTGGTGGAGCTTTCACGTGTCAGGAGCCAACCCAGAATCCCAGAGTGGTCTGAGTTGGAAGGGACCTTAAAGCTCATCCAGTCCCACCCCCTGCCATGGGCAGGGACATCTTCCACTAGCCCAGGTTGCTCCAAGCCCTGTCCAACCTGGCCTTGGACACTGCCAGGGATCCAGGGATAGCCACAGCTTCTCTGGGAATTCCAGCCCAGCCCCTCCCCACCCTCCCAGGGAAGAATTTCTTCCCAATCTCCCATCTGTCCCTGCCCTCTGGCAGTGGGAAGCCATTCCCTGTGCCCTGTCCCTCCAGCCCTTGTCCCAAGTCCCTCTCCAATAGGTGTATCCCTGCCTTAACCTGGGAATAGCTGAGATTTCAGCAGCCTCTAAATCGATAAATCCCAAGGAAAAACCTGGCAAACTTTACTGACTGACTTATTTCCTTTCCCTTCCCAAACCTTCCCTGGAGATCAAAAGCAGGAGCCTCCTGAGCCGTCTGCAGATTTCTGAGACGAACTCAAGGTGATTCAGTTCCACCACATGGGATTTTTTTGGACTCAAACCCCACAACTCCAGGAAGGAAGCCCATCTGCTTCCACTCCCAGCCACATTGGAGAAATGGATCTTGAAAAACCTTCGAGAGAACTAAACCAGAGCATAAATCCCAAAGTCTGCCCTGCCATAATGCCCTTAACCAATACTTTATAGGGCGTTTTTATACATAAATACAGAAATATGCAGCCAAATCAGCATCTTCCAGCAACCTCCTTGCCAGTGAGGCTTCACACTTAGGCTTTAAATTAAGTGTCACTTATAATCTGAGGGTGAAAACCTGCAGAGTGTCTGTGCCCTTGGAGAAGTTCTGGCAGCTCAGCTTTAAGTGAACTGGATGGATTTCTGGGCAAGGAGCAAACTCGGCAAGAAACCGGGAGCCTCATTGTTCCCATCGGGTTTTTGGGAGGAATGAAAGCCAGGAGGATGCCCTGAGGAGAGCAGGGTAATTTGGGGAGATGACAGGCTCTCAGGGAAAGGATCTGCCTCCATCATTCCCAAAGGTGTGCCCAGTTGAGCCCAGATGGGCTGGGGGGGGAAATGGCAGAGGGGGACAGGGACACCCCACGCTCCCTCTGACCGCCCAGCTGGGAATTACCGGGCTGGAGACGCCGGAGACAAACGAGTCTGAGCAGCTGACCTGGATCTGCACTTGGAAGGGAAAAGCAGGGAGCTCCTGCCAGCACAGCCCTCCAGGGAGGATGTGGATTTACAGCCCTGTCAATCGCTTTTCTTGGCACCAGCTTGGACGGTTTGTTAATGAGACCCAGCGAAGGAAGTCGGGACGACGCTCCAGGACCGCTCCAGGGACGTGTCCTGCTCCCTGCCCCTGTCCCAGGGACTGGGCTGGAGCAAAACTCAGCTCAGCACTGACCTCTGGGGGGACCTGCCCAGAGCCTCACCTGGGGCAAAGCTCCTTCCCTGAGGAACAGGCAGGAGTTCAGATTCCATGGAGAAAAGGGATCTCACACCTCCCACATGGTGGGTGACCACTCCGACCAGCCCAAACTTGGGACTCGGCTCCAGGGGTGCCACCGTTGCCCCCAGCCATCCAGGAAGGCAAGATTGGCACATCTGGGAGCTGATGAGCTTCATCCCACCCCCACCCCTGTTCCAAGCTGAGCTGCTTCACACCCACCTCTATTTCTGGGGAAAGCACGGGGGGAGCCAAAGCTTCTGCAGCTCCCCCGAGTGCACACGTGGCTGCTAATGTGGAAAAGGAAACAATTCCAAATCAGCCAGTCTAGGCTTAACAGGGGTCAGGGAAGGCTCTGCTGGAGGACTCTGGGAGATGGCAAACTCCAGGAAAGGGGAACGATGAGTTCCAAGTATCCCCGAATCCACCACATTCATTTTCAGCGGGTTTGCCCTGACCCGCTGGACGAGTTTGGGATGTCAGCCAGGGACAAAGCACGCTGTCCCAGGGATAGCAGGAGGAATTTCTTCCTGGAAAGGGTGGTCAGGCATTGGAAGAGGCTGCCCAGGGAGGTGGTGGAGTCCCCATCCCTGGAGGTGTCCAAGGAAGGACTGGACGTGGCACTCAGTGCTCTGGGCTGGGGGACAAGGTGGGGATCGGGCACAGGGTGGACTCGAAGATCCCGGAGTTCGTTTCCACCTTAAATAATTCCATGATTCTCTGAACATCCTGGCTACAGCAGGGATTTTGGCACTGGGAGAGGCTCCATATGGAAACTACAAACCTGAGGTTCATTTTCTTACGAAGGTGACTTTGATCCTGATTTCTCTGCGTTACCTTCCCTGTTTCCTGTGTCGGAGCTGAAGGAGACGAGGCCGATCCCCAGGCAGGCACTGCACTGGCTCCAGCTCAAGAAGCCAAGGAGCTGCCAAGGAGGAGCCAAAGAACCTGCTGCCATGGCTACAGATGCCACCCCAAATCCCTGCAGCCCTCACCCCTTCCCAGTGAGGTGCCACCGGTGCAAACCACACGAGTGTGACCAAGTCCACAGCTTCTCCTCGGTTTTCTCCGTGTTTTATCCCCGCCTGCTCCTGGGGGAGCTGAGATGCTCCACAAAACCTGGCAGGGTCACCATGGCCCTCAGCCCAGACCTCAGATCTACTCTGAGTGCCCTTTCCAAGGACACCTGCAGTGGTGTTTACTGAAGGCCTCCTCAAAGAGCAGCATCACTCCACGGTGTCCCGCCCTGCCCACGCACAACCGTTCCCTGCCGCCAGTCCCATCTCCCACCACGAGACAACCCTCAGAGGACGCAAATCCATCCAATTCCTGCTGGCCAGCACCCTGCTTTCCAAAGCCAGAAGCACAGATCCAAGCCTTGGGCTCAGCCAGCAGTTCTTCACCTCACGAGAAACAAAAAAACCTGGCGTGTCTCTCGACACGACACGAGGCTCTTCCCGGCGCTTTTCCAGGCTGTGTGGGCAGGCAGGAGATGGGATGCCAGCGTGGCATTTCCACCACAACCAAGCCCCTGGGATGGTGCCTTTCCTCCTCACAAAAACACACTCATTCCCAGTTCAGACCCAAAAATGAGTCCAGCACAGCGTGGGACTCCGGAGTGTTCCTGACAGCTGCAGATCCAGGGGGAATCGCAGCCCTGCATTTTTGACACGTGTGGAAACACAGTGTCAAAGCTCCTTCCAGTAATGCTGCCAGTGCTGGCAGGTCTGAGCATTTTGTCAAAAAACCCCAAAATAAATGGATGTTCTTTTGGCTGTGCTTCTGATAATTAATGTTTGAAGAGCTCGGGATGCACAGAAGTGTTTGTTAAGACAGAGATACCCTGACATTATCCTGGGGGTTTACACACCCAGATCCAGAAGATATGGATAAATGGGGCAGGGATGTGACCACAGCTCCTAAATGAACCCTGTCCCCACGTCCAAAGCCATCCCAGAGAGATCCAGGCTGTTGGGATCCAGGCTGTTTGGATCCAGGGTGTTGGGTTCCAGGCTGTTTGGATCCAGGGTGTTTGGATCCAGGGTGTTTGGATCCAGGCTGTTTGGATCCAGGCTGTTGGGATCCAGGCTGTTTGGATCCAGGCTGTTGGGATCCAGGGTGTTTGGATCCAGGCTGTTTGGATCCAGGCTGTTGGGATCCAGGGTGTTTGGATCCAGGCTGTTTGGATCCAGGCTGTTTGGATCCAGGCTGTTGGGATCCAGCCTGTTGGGATCCAGCCTGTTGGGATCCTCCTGCCTCCGAGGCACAGCCCTGAGGGAATGTGCTCCTCTCGTGACTGGTCTCTCCCCACCAGCCATCCCTGCCATTCCCAGCCTCTCCCAGTCCCGCTGCAGCCGGACTGGATGAGTCCCAGGACGTGCCTGGTGCGGATGGTGCTGCCTGATGAGACATCCCTGGATTTTAGCAGTTCCCCCAACAATCCTTCACCTTCTGGTTTTCCCTTTAATCTTATGCTCGTAAAGACGGACTGGGAAGTTACCTTTATCCCTTTTCTCATGTATTAAATCATTCTCCTGCTCCTCTTCACCTCGGAACGGCTCCTTTTCGCCCTGAACCTCCAGACTCCCGCGCTTTTCCACCTCCAACTTCAAGCATTTTCAACATCAGAGTTAAAAGGATTTATAGACTATTTTAAGACCCATCTCCAGAGGTATGGAAAGTGTTTCACTGGAAGGGTATTTAGCTCCAAAGGCAGCGCAGGCTGAATATAAATTGGCAAAACAGATGCATTTTTAAAAATACGTGTAATTA